CCTTGGCAATTGCCATGAAGTTATTGAAGAACAGCTTGGGCAAAATGAAAAGGCCTGCAGGCGTGGTCTGCTCCACCAGCTGAGATCGCGTGAAAACCTTGGAAATCAAAGGCTTCCACACAAAGAAGATCCAACGGCGCCTAAATAATTGGAATCTGACATTAGGGGTGTATCGTGCTTTAAGTAAAAGGGGGCTTAGGGGATAACCTTAGTAGTGGTGCAGATCTTTACATCAAACTTTGGAGCCCAGCATTTCCCCAGAAGGCCTAAACATTACAAAGCTCTACTCCGACAAGCCCGAAACCCCAAATCCTAAACCCCTCCCATCTGGGAGTCCAAGCCCTAACCCTAAGCCCTAAACCCTACTTCTTTAACGCTAAATCTGAAAACCAAGCTAGGATGCCATTTGGACTTCCAGCTACGGAGATTCTAGGCAGACCTGGTAGGGATCTCACGAATTGAATTTGAGTTGCTTTGAAGTGACTTCATGTCTTCTAAGCAGGTTCACAAGTATACAACCCCTCCATACTTTCCATACTTCCTGTAGCCACAAGCATGGATCCACCATGTTGAGGGGCCATGATTTTCTTCGAACACCCTGAGGCTGCTGCCGAAATGTGTGACCACGTCTCCTGGGAGGTCTCCGCCGCTAAGAAGGTCTGAGTGCTGCCCACGGTGATCTCAGAACCTCCAACAATCATGGCATCATGAGCTCATTTTGGGCCTTACAAGGCCCAGACCTGAAACGCTTCCCTGCGCAAACCCAGAGCCGTGCCTATTTGAGACCGAGGCTGACCCGCCAGAAGCCCTGAGCTAAGGTAGATCCGGTAGCCCAGGACCCTCCTCACAAAGGAATGGTTTTGGGCTTGGGATCTAGGAGTTTGGGGGCTTGAGGGTTCAGGAATGAGGACTTAGGGTTTATAGGATATTTTGGCTTTGTTCTCAGCGATCTACGGGTTAGAGTTTGAAGGTCTTGGCCTCAAGTCTTCGGTCTGAAGCTTAGGGTTGCAAACCATGCTGTGTGGGCTAGAGAAACCTTGGGATGGTGCCAAGAATGCACCAAGGATTCCAACAGGCTTGAGGGTTTAGAGCCGGAATGCCCATGGCTAGGCAAATGAACCTTTGCAAAACATATACTGCATCTTGAAAACGAATTTTGGAAGTTCAGCTCGAGATGGAAATCATGGACCCATGTGCTCCTTGCGTCAGTGGGCGCCAGCCAAAAAATGTCGCCGCCAAGTTCTCCCTCATCAAGATCCTTCGAGGTGGTGAGCTTTCCTGTACTACCCCTGAATCTATATCTGAATCTATATCTAAAATGCGAGTTGTCCTACTGTAGGGCTTATTCTAGAAATTGTCTTAAAAATCATTCCCATGAAGACTGCAGTTTCAAGGGTGACAAACTGGGGATTTCCCAGAATGCCTTGTTGTGAAGCCGCGTCACAAGGATGACTGCGCTTGGGGCAAACAGAAGGGGGACTCTGAAGTGTCAGAAATGCCAGTATGGAAATCTCCTCTTACATCTCTCACCCTCTGCCACAACACCAAAAAACATGGATCTCCTCTATACTCCCCGTAGACCTATTAAAAGATGGTCTTGTGTAGGTCCTTGTCACTATACTCAAATCACCATGAAAAGCACTCATGTAATTCCTGAAGAGACACCCGAAAAATTGGAGATCGTTTGGGATACTCCGGAACTGTAAACCTCGAGCCCACACCCTTGCCGGCCATGATCCCAAATGCTTGAAGACTGCCTGGACCCGCCGCAAACCCATTTCTTTTTCTAAGGTTTGTCCTCTGGCTTTAGGGTTTAGAGGTGTTTGTGACACGTTTACACCTGAAACTGAGGGTTTTGCAGGGTCGAAGTCAGTAGACCCCAAACTATCCCGCATCGAACCGGCCTTGTCCACGAAGCTCAAACTCGAGATGCTGCTTGTCACATCCAAGATCCGTGAGGCCATTGGCGTGGACCTGGGAATGTTTTCTGATGATTTGGTGCTTCCCAACATTCAAGGTCCCTTTCCGTGGATCCTTGTCGCGATTCAGGGTTTTGATGTGTTTAAGGCGGACCCTCCATGACCTTCTAAGCACACCTGGCATCCGAGCAAGCAGCCTGTCTCTTCTCAAAGCCTTGCCTTTTGCTGCATCGCTGGCTGCCCAGGTGTCTGTATGCTCATGTCCGTCTCTGACCGGTAGCTATTTGGCTATGACGCCAGCATGTGCAGCTGCTGCTCACTGTCATGGGTTGTGCTGGCTTGGCTGTTGGAGGATGAAGATGTGTTAAACTTCAACTGGCGGCCATTGTGCTCATTTTTCTCTCTCAAACACGAGGCCTGTACATCCGTAAGAGCCGCCCTACAACCCAAGACCTAAACTTGTTGCATGCCTCGGTGCTGCTCCGCGCCTCTGGAGGCTGTGAACACAAGGAGGTGGGTGAACTTCTGCAGAGCATACCTTGGAGGAAGTTGCGGGCCTTTGTAGGGGGCTGTAAGGTTGTTCGGGGAAACCGGTCATCCCTTGTAGCGAGCTGTGAGGTTGTTAGGGATAACTGTTGCATCTGGACTGGATAGGTTATGTAGAAGCTTCCGTTAAACGGCTTGGGAAGGATCTCAACGTTCATGCATTACATCTGGGCCTCGGTCTCAAGGGGATGCAGATTTAGGATTCCGGGATTGGAGTGCAAGATCTTCTTCCAGCAGGGCGCAGGGAGAGTCCTGTGACAATTAATATGAGCGTCCTTCGAGACTGCTGGCAACGGAAGTGCCTTGAACCTCAAGATATGGACCTCTCAAGAACCCCCATCCCAACCACAACCCCCCCAAACTCCAAAGCCCCATGTCAATGTGTGTATGTTTACCCCGGCATGGTTCCTGTAACTCGCCTATCTGTAATGCCCAACAATACCCTTGTGATGAGCCCCATATTCACTCCCCGCTCCCCCTTTAGCACTAATTAAACCTTTCATCCTGAAACCTCCTCATCGGCCAGCAGGTGACTCTTCGGGGATGTCCAGCAAGTTGGTTCCCACCGAAACATTGGCAACCTAGGCGCCCGGACCACTGTTTTTTGTGCGGTAGAACGTGTTTGAGGAAGATACATGAATACTATCGCGTACTATAATCTTCTGGCGGCCTGTGCCTCCCAAGGTGCCTTCAAAAGATCTTGAACAGTAGGACGGCAATGATTTTAAGGTGGCGGTGAAAGAGCGGCCTGTTTCCGAGCGTTGAACGTTGAACTTTAACAAGTCCACACGTGTGATTGAACGCTGGGTTCCACAGAATTCCAGTTTACGAAGCAACTCATCAGCCGGAAGCCTACGTCTTTCCCTAAATCCCTGAGCCCCAATTCCCTACACCCTGAACCGTTCAATGGACTCAAATGAGGTTGCAGGAACATAGCTCCGCTCGCAGACTGCGAGAAGGTTCTCCGGAACCACTGGGCCGAGGGATCCAATGATGAAGTCCTTGGAGGTTGGGGGTTCAGAGAGTAGGTTCTGGGGATTATGGCTGATGGTTTGGCGCTTGGGGTTTGCGGTTTGGGAGCTTAGGGTTGGCTACTCGGCTATTTATTGCCTATACCATATAACAGTCATACATAAGACGCTTGTTGAGGGATAATATAAAGCTATAATATTGGGGAGGGACTGCGGTTTGGAGGTTCAGGTATTCGGCTCTTGTTCATCACCTTCCCCAAACATTAAACATTAGCAGTGTGGTATATTCTTATGTTTGGAATATCTACTATTGGGGGGAGGGTGAGGGGTTTCATACTGGGGTGGGCAGTATCACGGGAAAAGCAAGTCTATCTTGCAAGTCAATCTGCTGGCCCATAAACCCTAGACTGATATTGATTCAGTCAGGGGCTCGGAAGCGTTCTCTTCTGCTCCAGTGCCAGGCCACAAATTGAGAGGAGCCTGGCTATGGCCAGGATCCACGGGATGGTCAGGGCTTAGAGATAAATGGTTTCTTAAACCCTCAAGCACTACTCCTTTCGATGTTGGGCGGTTAGGAATTCCAGCCCGCGTAATCTGAATGTGACGTTACGGGTCTGATGCTCTGGAGTTTGGGGGTTCAATTGCTGCTTCGGCCTTATAGGTTGGACCCTTCATCATAAGGGTCAGTCGTACCATTCACAGGTGTTACATAACTCTGTGCCGATATCCATGTAGGGACCGGATTTTCGAGTCCCTCTTCACCCCCTTACCCTAAGCCCGAAGCCCCCACACTTTCGATCGGTTTGTTTTGGTTTTTTGGCTTTTTTGGCAGGGGATTATACTATACCTAACTACCCAAACAAACTCCATAGGAGGGCCTGGGTAGCGATTATGAGGAGACTGCAGGGACTCTGTGACTCTGTGAGGAGGATCGCCCTCAATCCCACAAACAGCACATCTGTGAATATGGGTGCTTCCCAAGACAAGGGTACCTTGGAGACCTATAGGGAGGTATGGAGCATGATTCTGCAAGTCCTTCTTGCGTAGTGGCTGTCTTGCGGAAAACCCATATGTCAGTTGCAAGTACCTTTTTCAGAAACAGAGGCAAGCGCAGTTCCTGTGAGACAACTTCTGCATGGACCCTCCACCTGCCCCGTGTTAGGGCCTAAGTACCAAACTACGTCCCATATTAGGGGTACTAGCAGGAGCTTTGGCGGCTGTAGGATCCTATAGCTTGAGGATCTTGCATGAATTTCATGCTTTCGATTTGGCGGCAAGTACAGCTTTGGCGTCAACTCCCAATCTTATGCACTACTGAGGCTTTCTTTTTTTCTTCCGGCCTCATGCTACTTGAGAACAGTAGATACTGTAGCATGATCGAAACAGTGTTGCCCACTTGGAGGGTCAGGGGGACTTAGTAAGTAGGTACATGAGGGGGACAAGTAGGGGTACTTTAAACAAACTACCGCATGTCTTGTGCTGAAAGCTACAAATTTTGGGGCGGCCTCTCGCTGACTATGTGTGGAGAGACGGGACGACTTCGTCAACCTCAAAGCTGCTTCACCTAAGATTTCTCCAGGAACTGTTGCCACCAACGGTAGGAGCTCTTCACGGTGCGCGGTAGCATTTTGTCATTGAAGTCAACGTGCACCATGCCGAACCTTTCCTCGTAGCCCCCTGCCCACTCAAAGTTGTCCAGCAAAGTCCAGGCAAAGTAGCCCCTCAAGGGCAATCCTCGCGGTTGCTCTTAAGGAACCTAATCTAAGTTACCATAATATGGGTATGCAGTGAATAAGGGGGGTTCCTTATTTTTGTAGCGTAATTTCGGTACCTTAGCAGCAAGCCACTCAGGGGCAGTCCTTCGTCAATTGCCTGCTTAACAATGTTGGTGTGGTCTTGGTAGTACCTGACGCGGACGTCATCCTCAACTGCCTTTGGGTCGTCCCCCGGGGTGCAGAAGCCATTTTCCGTAATGACAACATCCAGGCCAGGATAGCGACCTGACAGCCACCTCAAGAGTTCAATAAGGCCTTGGGGGTAGGAATGCAACCAGGAAGCCCCCGAGGCTTCGCCCAGCTCCACCACCTTCCAGGCGGAGCCTGCACCTGCCGGGCTATCCTCCTGGATGCCAGATGTCGTGTAGTAGTTGATACCTAGGAAGTCGATGGAGCCTCGCAGGGCTTCTTGTTCAAGCTTGCTGAGGCCTAAGGCCGTGCTGCCTCCGTGCGTTGCCTTGAAGCTCTCAGGGAAATCGCCGAAGACTACGGGGTCAGACCAACAAGCTATGCGATCCTCTAACATGTGCTGGGCGCCCTTCGCAGCAGTGTCGCTTGCATCCACAGCCTTGTAGTGTCGTGTGTTCAGTGTGATCCCTATTTTCTTTGTTTTGTCGCCGTTCTGGAAGCGGGACCGGTAGAGTGCCACAACTTTTGCATGCGCGAGCAGCACATGCCGGACAGCTACGAGAGCCTCAGCAACCGACTGCCTGACACCAGGAGCATTCCAACCTCCCTGATAGCCTCCAAAGACGAACACTGCAGGCTCGTTGAAGGTGATCCACATGGGAACCCTACCTGCAAAGCGTTCGAAACAAAGCGTGGCATAGGCCATGAATTTGTCTATGATCTGCGGGCTCATCCACCCAGGCATCTCTGCCGTCTGCAAGGAAGATGGCAGGTCCCAGTGATACAGCGTCACGCAAGGCTCCATGCCGGCTTTTTCAAGCGCATCCAGGACCTTCGAGTAGTAGGCGATGCCGGCCTCATTGGGCTGCCCATCATCTCCTTGGCTGGTCATAGCCCTTGAGAGAAATATGTGCTTTGGGGGTTCAGGATTCAAGGTTATACTGGCAATATACTAGGAATGTAGAGGCCCAACAAGAAAAACATTATGCCACTGAACAACCTAGTCTCGAATAACTCGCGGCCAAGAGATTGACATGCGGAAGTGCTTGAAGCCAGCAGCTCGCGCTAGCTCAATGTCTTCTTCATACCTGTGGTAAAAGTCGCATGCCACCTCTGCGGATGTGCCGTCGCTGATAGCACCGGGAACTTTGCAAAAGTCGTCCCAGATCGATCGTGCTTTGCCGTCGGCATCGTGAGCACCCTCAATCTGATATGCAGCTCCAGCCACACCCCACTGAAATGTCATCTTCCCTGTCAAGGCCCGGACAGGAATACTCCTGTCCAATGCAGAGAGAGGAATGAAGTAGTACAGCGAGCCGACCAGGCACAAGGATCTAAATCTGAACTTGCTAGAGGCTAAATGCGTCATTCTTGCATGCCGGCTTCCGGACAACGTGAATCCTGTTGACTGTTGAGGTGGGATTACGTTGATGCCTGACATTCGGTCCCTACAGTGACCCCTACACAGTTTCCCATGGTAGAAGCGTCAGTCAGCCTTTCTTCGTCTAAGAATGACTTCTACATCGGGCGATGAGACTGATAGATCTCACAAAGCAATCAACCTGGAACAACATGCAGATCTTAGTACCTGAGGTTTTAAGTCTGGTTCCCTTGATGACGTAGCCCATCCTGGCTTGCAACCCTGCTGCCCGAGAACTACAGCCTCAGCCTAGCCTGTCACATCACACAGGTCGCTGCTTAGCATGCCGTAATTACAGTGGGTGGTCGTCCTCTGGACCCTTTCAACCTCGATGAATAAGAGGATATATCTAGCCTAACAATCCCAAGCCCTCAGTCTAACTACACCGCCAAGCCTGTGCCACGGTCACATCCGAAATCGCCACGAAGCTCGCAATGGCCCTGATATTGAAGGTTGTCTCTTGTCCAGGGGCCAGGATTCAGGACTCTAGACCCTTGTGGCTCAGGAGTTGAGAGGTCTGGGTGGGTTTGGCCAATTTGTGGGGTACTTTCGCTTCGGGAGTGGGTTTAGTGTGTAAGGTTTGGGGGATTGCTGCCCAATGAGGATTGAGGCGTGTCTCCGGGTTCCCTCGTGTGCCTCAGTTAGAGCAGTGGAAGGATCATTAGCGCGCGGCAATGCATGACGCTAAATACCTTGTGCCTTGGGAGTTATGGTGCTGTAAGTATATTTAAAATCATGCAGGATGTACATATAGCATCGACAGCAGCGCTACATGGGATCCAATCCTAAAACCTAAGCCCGAAACCCTGAAACCCAAACCAGCAACCCCAAGCCCTCATGATTAGCAGTCCTGAGCTGCTTTCGATTCTTACATTCCTTGCCCGTCTGAATGATCCTCTCTTCTGAAACCTGCGCCCATGGGAAGTGGGTAAAATCCTGAAATTGTTGACCCATAGCTCCTGGACAGGGGGATTTCTGCCTCTGGCTCCCAAATTACTAACATTTCTCCATGTAAAGTGGCCCCAACCGGCACCCCGGAAGCTGTTGCAGGTGACAAGTTGCCTCTCAACGCTGGCCGCCCAAAGGAAGTGAGCGATCCTGCAACTTCAGGATTTGTAGAGCTTGAGTGAAAGAAAGCCTTGGGTTCAGGCGCCAACTTAGCCCCGAGGCTCAAAATTCCCTGAAGACCTCATATTACATGGACCTTGCGCCCAAAATTCCAGCAAATATTGGTCCGAGGAGCTTTAGAGGAAGGAGTTAGCTAGTGCAGCTAGTGGTTTGGGGTGTACTGGCTTTGGGGAGTCGGGCGCTTGGAGGTTAAGACGTTTGTTGCATTCATGTAGGGTTTATTATTTCGAGTCAGAACTGGACTTGCAGTTCAAAGTAACAGCGTAGTCCGCATTCAAAAACGCAACCTTATCCAAGGTAACAGAGTAAAGCCTGAAAACTTGATCTCAGACCTAACCCAAAACCCTCAATCCTAAACCCAACTACCTTGCACCTTTCATCCCAAACCCAAGACCTCAATCCTAGACCCAACAACCTGGTACTCTTCAACCCAAACTCAAGACCATGAACTCTTGAGTCAAAACTCCTTACATGCTAGCACAATCTGGGAGTGAATCGAAACCCTGTGCCCGATGGCCCGCGCGGACAAGCTTCTGTTACATACCCTTGAAACGCAGGGCTTGTTACATACCCCTTGTCGCGCGT